TCATAGTTGTTTTAATTTGCATCTCTCTTAGGGCTAGGGATTTTGATCATTTCTTCATGTGCTTGTTAGCCATCTGAATGTCGTCTTCGGTGAAGACTAAGTTTTTGTGAAAACATTGACACATCTTTCTTCCACAGTGGAAAAGCTGGTGGGTTTGACCCACTGACTTTTAGGTTAGCAGTCCAGCACGTTACTATAATATCAGGGCCTTTTTTTTCTATAATTATATTTTATTAATTTTCATAAACATTTATATCAGGGCCTTTTTACCTAGGTACTTTCAATAGAGTATTCGCTGGATTAGACAAAATTGCAGATCAGCCAACTATGAACAAACCCCAAAAATAAACTGGGACAGGGAAGGTGAATGAGAAAGGGGAAGAGCTGAAGTCTACTGCTGCCAGGGAGAGAGAGGGGACACATACAGGAACCTGAGAAAGCGACCTCAGCTCCCTGCATCTCTACGTGGTAAGACTTCCCTTAGAAATGGGAATTACGTCTTCTCGACTTTGATGTAATTAAATCCAACTCAAAATGAAGTGCCTTTTTTCAAATGTGGTTGTAAATTTCCTTTAAAATACTTAAATTGTGTAGATGTCTCAAAAATCATTATATATGAAAATGAAGAAAAAAAAAGAAATGGGAATTACGCACTGCAATCCCAAAGGTGGGTGTTTCAAATCCAGCAGATGCTCCACTGGAAAAGGAGGAACAATCTCCTCCTGTACCAGTCGGATCCAATTCAATGACATACCAAAAAAAAATGGGAATTACCAGTCAAATATCTCTATCTTTTGCCTGGAAAACAGCATTGTCTTCATGGGTGTGTGAACTATGCCATTGCACAGGCTTCTCCATGCTGGAGGACCTCGCATATGAAGCTCAATGTACTGTGGTTATAGTGTTAAAATACTTAAATATATTTTACATTTTATTTTTGTGTTGTCTAAATGAAGTCTGTCAGCTAACAGATGCTGCCCTGGATGTGCTCTCCAAGTTGTGCCAAGAAATCTGGAGAACAACCACTTGGCCAACTGACTGGAAGAAATATGTATTTGTTCCCATTTCAAAGAAGGGTGACCCAACTGAGTGTGGAAACTACAGAACAGTATCATTGATTTCACACGCAAGCAAGATTCTACTGAAGATTATCCAAAAAAGACTGGAACAGCACATCAGCAGAGAACCGCCAGAAGTCCAGGCTGGGTTTAGAAGGGGTCGTGATACTAGGGATATTGTAGC